TTTACCTAAGCTTAATACACCTCCCGTAAAGTGAAAAAAACATTAAAGGCACATACCGCCACCCCCTGTCAGTTAGAGTTCTCGTATTATGCCGTGCCGTAGTACGTAGAACAAAAGCGACCAATTTGCCAATGCCGATGTAAAATACCAAATCTTCGAATCCGAATCGAATGAACGAAGCAACCAAACTCGGAACTCGGCATGTTTGATCGATCGCAGAGCCATCGAGCAATTGACTCAAAAAAGATTCGAATCTTTTAAAAACAGGGAATCAATTCATTCGAGTCAGTGTACTGATTCGTTCTTTTTGAACGAATCGTTCGCGAACGACACACCTCTAGTCACTACATATCATCCCATATTCTTCTTACAAATCAGAAATTCTTCATTAAGGCCCGTATTTATAAACAGAACTTACGTGAGTCGGACTTGGGTAAGTTGTCCTTGAACTAAAATCGAAGTTCGGTTACAACGTCTCTATAGTTCGAGGTGGTTCCCGGTGTTACACTAGAATTTAGAGATGGCTATTACCAAATCTGTAACTGTTATGTTCATTTACGGATTTGTTACTACCCATCTCTAAATTCACGCGATATAACCGAACTTCGATTTTCGTTCAAGGACGACTTACCCAAGTCCGACTCAGCTGAGTTTTGTTTATAAATACGGGCCTTAGTGTTGGTCTTTTACAACATAACCCGTTCAAATTAATTAGGGACAACCTATAAAATAAAACAATTATTCATATAAAATTGTACTACGGTCAAGAAATTATCCTTGTTCAAATAAAAAACAGTGTGTCTACCTAAGTTGGAACTATGTATATGGAAAACTTTTTTATTATTGGTTTTATGAAAAAATGTATTCTTGATAAAAAGTTCTGCATGGTCCAAAACTTAAAATGCAACCATCAACACTGGACCAAAAATCAAAACATAAATTACAGTCGTAAAACTAATATTATTGTATAAAATTTGTAAATAAACATTATAACCTCAAAAATACTTTTATGCTTAAAATAATAGTAGAGAACAATGGTTAAACTTACACATTCTTCCAATTTATTAAAATTACAGTTTTATTTAAACAAACACAATTAACATTGTCTTATAGGGATTTATAAATATAGTTCGATCGGAAACATCGATATAATCAGATAGAATGTAGAGACTTTGTGCCGTATTTTGAAGTTGATAATTTTATTTGAAGATTGATGGAATGAAAATGTTTTATATCATTTAAATCACATTATTCTAAAAAATGGTATTTATTCTCACCAAAACTGATTAGTTCAATTAGCTCGAGTTTGATTTATGACGTAAACGTGTAATGTGAAAGTTCAGACACTTTCAGTATCGTCATAGCATCTCCTCTTTATTCTATATAAATATTGGAAAGACATCACGCCTTGATTATGTGCGATGCACAAAATAACGTAATTTAAGTGATTTTAAGTAGGTATGGATCTTTTGACTTGTTGACCTCTCTTTTTAGCTACAGGCTTTCAGGAAAAACTCTCGCTCCTCGAAATAGTGCACCACAAAGACGCGCTTAGCCAGAGCGCAATGACGTACCCAAAAATAGAGATTAATACGTATAATAACAATAAAATTATTAAAATTGAATTTACATTTTTATTTATTTTAAAATGTTTTTAAGAACTGTAACTGGGTGTTCACTGTACAAATGAACCAATGGAGAAACCGCTCCTGTAAAAGGTCTAAACCTTTTGAAAAATGTGACGTTATCCACGTCTTCAAAATAATTTGATTTCTCATAAATGCGCCTAGGAAATCCATAATTTATTAAATCTAAAATATCTAGATCCTTAATCGTCTTCGAACAATTGAAAATCGACTGGATTCATATCAAATTAATTCCTTTTGCAAAAATACTACTCTATTTTCTAAATAAATAGTAACAATGTAAAAATAAATACCACCATCAGGTTGCTTCAATACTGTCAATAGGACAGAACTCAACGAAACAAGTATTTTGGGCGCTTTAGTAGGAAACACTTAGGGATGGAATAAGTGATACTTAAACATCGGTGCAACAAGTTTTATGTACCCTAAGCTTTTAAAACTAAACGGACATTACTAATTATTCAATACGTGCTCCGAATAATTACTGCTATATAACAATATAATAATTGCTGTCCTCAAATGCTATACAAAAACAACCACAACCATTTCGCTTTCACGTTAGGATAAAACAATCATGAACTCGAAATTTAAAATTCAAATTCAGGATTCTACGATATACATACAACTAATTGACATTTATTTTTACCAGCTGTCCAGTGTTATCCACGTCAAAGATAGGAAGTTAGTTTTTTTTGTTACTTACAAGAATAAATCTTACTTTGGTTAATTAAAGAACGCCACATTGGGGTTGTTAAATTTATTCATGTGGCATGTGTTACTAATGCAATACGTTCTCAGACTTATTGTAATATTACAAAATATAATTATTGTCTTTAAATTTCACACCGAAACAGCCACAACCAGTTCGCTTAGTTCATCTAGAAGATAACACAATCATGAACTCAACAGTTAAAATTTAAATTCGACCTTCACCTATCTGTTCACTAGATTAAAGTTTTTTTTCATTAAATAAAATATGTTTTTAAATATAGCGCAAATGGGTTGCCTAAGAAAATACGGTCACGGCCATTTTTACTTTCCTTTCTGTGTACAGATAAGGAAAGTATAGGAATCATGATTAAAGTTGCTTATGATGTCATTCTCTATTATTTTGTTCCTATACATGATTTCCCTAAAATGGACTTAATTCGAGATATTAGAGAAAAAGTGCAAATTTCGAATTTTGAAGATAACTCAAAAACGGATGAAGAGAAATACACAAAATTTTAAAGTTTACCTTTAATCCATTCTGGGGTGAGCTGATTAAAGTTTGGGCATAGTCGAAGCATCTGGGGAATACTTTACAGGGTGTCATTTTTTTTACTTGAAGAAAATAAACAGTACCGTATTTTCTTAGGCAACCCATTTTAGGCTATAACTAACATATAATGAAACACGGAATCCCAAGAATATCAAGTTAATGATAAAAAGTCTTCAAAGAAATAAATTTAAAAAAGTTTCATCTAAGTATTTAGACTACACCCTGTATAGTGATAAATTTGACAAGATCAAAAGTAACTAAATGTAGTAAGACAATGTTACCACACGAAAATTATAATTTTTAAAATGTAAATTTGTAAAAAAATTACAACACGGATTTCAAAATAACCTATTAATTAATGAACGATAAATTATCATCGAAATTATGAAATAAGCCGTTTAAATAAACTCACCTTTAAAAATCCAATAATCTAATTTTAAAGATGTAACTAAACTGTCAAAATTTTGATTGGCTAATTACTTTTTCATCCAACTTGATTCAAAAATCCAAATCAGAATTTGTTGATGAAACAAAAGGGAGTGCTAAAAAAAGTAACGAAAGAGGAAGGACACAAAAATTTTTTCCTCCTAGTTTCCTCTCCAAACTCCTTTTTCCTAAAAATAAAGAGACAGAAATATTAAATCTTCAATGTTTATGTATAAACGATTAACTAGTGTATAAATGTCAAAGGTAATATTAAATTTAACTTACCCACGCAATATCATGTAAAACTGCCCGAAGAAGAGTCCCCAGGAAGTCATCGATCACCGCTGTATGCATCGGCATACAAGACGTAAGGCTTCCATTTCCCCCAGGTACTTGTAACATCCTTCTGTTATGGACGATGAAAAGAAATAAGTTTAACACTTGGACATCTTATATTTCACAGTGCTATACAGGTATTTCAATTAAAAACTATCATTAGTGACCAATTAAAAGAAAGTACTTACCAAATTGAGTACTTAAGTAATCGTAAAGACGATAAATCTTTCTATTTTTGTATAAAATAACATCATAATGTTTTTTAGACAATCTGATTGATTAGGTTATGATTTCACATAAGCCATCTCTTGTCCGTCTTGAGAAATTACCACACAGCCGGTCAAAAGAGATCTATTTACGTATTTAAAAGCGCCGTATGGTGGGTAGAACATTAAGCTCTATAGGTAACTGTATTTTTATAGTATAATGCGCCATTTTCGATCCAAGAATCGATCGTTAAATGACGAATTATTTTATTATTTTTGTTTCTATGTTAATTTTTACATTTATGTAACAATATTCTGTTTCTTTTTCCCACATTAGTTACAAAGAATTTTTGAACTCGCACTAAACCCTGATATCAATTATTTTAAATAAAACTACAAGTTATACACAGAGTCTCAAACTTTTACTTATTTTTATTTCAATACCAGAGCTGACAATATACGAGGTACAGAGGTAAGTGTCTGAAATACATGGATGAAAATTTTTTAAACCCATTAGCTAAAAGAATTGAGTCATGTCTTTTTGTTAATTGCATCAGATAACATTTCAGCCGGAGCATTAAGTATTTGTATGGAGGAGGATGATTTGTGATTTAAATTATTTAAAGCTCATTACAATTATAACGTCCCAACGTAGTGCTATATATTACACAAGAACATTCCCCCATTACAATATATATTTACAAACTGTCCACGTCTCAGTGTTGCCAACCGTACGATTTAAATCGAATTTATACAATTTTTTATCTCCCTGTACGATGTACGATTGCATCAGTGAGATCGTATGTAAAAATACGATCTTCCCTTTTTTGGTAGGTTTATTTAAATATCTGCAACAACTTCAAAACATAAAACAATAAAAATCAGACATTTTCGTTCTACTTATCGTGATTTTGATCATGGTGATTTTGTACCAACACCGACTATCACGGCATAACAAAAGCTTGCATGCAAAATTTCAATTACTTTCAAGTGACAGTCATTGATTACTTTAAATGTGTTAAAGTTTCATGTATTTTCTTCAGTATTTTTTTTTTTTTTTCGTTGTAAACATTTTTATAAATGGATAAATAAATTATTATGCCAAAGTTTTTTTTATTTTTTTCGTTCCATTTAAGCTATATTATGCTATACATGTACCTTTTGTACGATTTTTTTGTCGAAATACCATTTTCCTACTCTACTTGTACGATCTATCAAAAAAATATATTTGGCAACACTGGTCTGTCTACAAACTACGAGTACCTTTAGTTAACATCCGAGACGCGTAGATGACGCCATCGTTGTTGCGATCGTTGCGTTTCCTATATTTGTCCCCCGTCTCCGCGCGCAAGTGAAAAATGTAACTTGTCCAGTAACCTCAGAATATCAACCTAACCTTGGCGCAATGACATATGAAAGCTTTCTTCACACATTCCATTGTTGCCTATTATTTCCGAATTCCACTACAACTGAAACTAATGATTATTAAGAGGAAAATTTACATTACAAACTGAAAGACCTGCGGGGCAACGGTAGTTTAGTAAGTATAAAAATTACAACTTGAGGGTGGAGCCTAAATACTACAAACTTACTTCCGAGACTAAACAAAATCCGCATTCATTCATAATTTTAACAATACACCTTTCCCCTTATTCGATCATTTCGCATTACTCATGCGCGAAAAAGTGCGGGTCTTTTGAATCTAGTAATTTTTGAAGCAACTTATTTTCTCTCTCTCTCTTATCCTCCCCTATAGAGAATTATTGTTGTGTTGGCTACAACGGTTGTCCCCTCCATGGTTGTCCCTGTCTGTCATCGTTCCAATAACAATAACAGTGTTAGTGTATATTTTTGTTTAGTTTCATAGGAGTTTATAGAAAATATTTTTTGATTTTATAATCCCAAGACAATGCGTTGTTGTGTACCCACTTGTCCAAATTCTGGACCAAACAGAAAAACCGAACGTTTTTTTGCCATTCCAAGCAAAAATAATATAAAACATCTCTGGTTAGCAGCAATAAAAATTAATCCTGACTTAATAACGGAGAATATCAAGGTAAGAATAATAAAATCTTACTAGTTGTAGTATCATATTAAATTTTGATTATAGTAGACTTACATAGATTTATGTTATAGGTATGTTCCTTGCACTTTAGAAAAGAGGATTGTTTTAATTTTTCGACAAAAGTGAAATTGAAGCCTGGAGTTATCCCCACTTTAAATTTAAATAATGTAGAAACAACAGAAAATATTCATATTGAAGATAATCCAATACAAATAAGAAAACGAAAAACTATCTTCAGTAGAAAACAAGCTAAAATAATTTCAACCTTTTGCATTGAAAAGTTCAGACAAAATGACAAAAAAATTTCATATTATACTGGATTTCCCAGTTGGAAGATATTTATTATAGCTTATAACTTTGTATTTAAATCAGAAAAGGGACCTGTTGGTGTCGTTCAACAGAGACAGGCTAAGGGAAACTTAAGGAAACATCATAAATTAACTCCTTTAAATGAATTTTTTCTAACTTTGATGAAAATAAGAAGAGGATTTGACTATGAAACATTAGCTGATATGTTCCAATTGTCAAAATCTGCAGTAGGGCGGATTTTTCTAGCATGGATAAATTTATTATATGAAAAATTGGCTGGTTTAAACATATTTCCCCATCGTGATGTGCTTTTAGATAAAGTCTCAAATGTATTTAAAAGGAAATATCCAAATGTAATAGGTAGCATAGATTGCACTGAATTTTTATTACAAACACCTTCTTCACTGGTACGACAATCCCAGTGTTATTCACAATATAAAGGATCAACAACTTTAAAAGCATTAATTATGATAAGTCCAAGTGGTGCAGTAATATTTGTATCTTCTCTTTATACAGGTATAAGTTATTTTCATATCACTGGGGTTGAAATTTAATGAAATTTTTTTCAGGTTCCATATCCGATAAAAAAATCGTAGAAGAAAGTGGGTTTATCAATCTTTTAAAGAAAAAGGTAGAAATTGGAGAACTAAAAAGAGGTGATATAATATTAGCAGACAAAGGATTTGATATTAAAACCATCCTAGAAGATGTGGGCATATCCCTTAATATACCAACTTTTCGTATATCTGGTATTCAGTTTCAGCCTAAAGAAATTGAATATATTAGACATATTGCTAGGGAAAGAATACATGTCGAAAGAGCAATCCGGAGGTTGAAATGTTTTAAAATTTTATCCAATAGAATTCCAATTTGTTTACTGGGTTCTATAAATCAAATTTTTACAGTCTGTTCTTTATTAACAAATTTTTTATATGAATTAAAGAAATAAATAAAGTTTTAATTTAATTAATGTTTATTTGCAATATACATATTATTTAAATTTTAGTTAATAAGAGTGAATATAAATTGTAGAAATATTAAAATGTTACTATTTAAGGACAATTAGGACTACTATGTAGATAGGTGTCACACCAGCACACTTAAAAAATCAATATTTGTTGAAGGTCTAAAAAAGTATAGTTACCTTTTATTGTTAAAACATCACCTAATATTAGAGTCTTCAAAAAAAGATTAAGAACTATTTTCAAGTGTAAATTTTGTTTTCTATATTTACTTACATTAAGCATTTTTTGTAAATACCTTTCTTATTGTATATACTAGCATGTTTTTTTGCTAAATAAAGAATTTATTTATTCATACAAATATTCACTGAGATAAAAAGAGTCAACACTTGAACATGGAAGGATGTGGATTTATTGTTAAAAAAACAAGCATTTAAAAATTTAAATATATATTGTATAAGTCAGTTAATTTATCATACATATTAATACAAAATAATTCATTGAATTCAACCCGAATTATGTGGCATTCATTACTTTCTTTTAAATAAACACATAAATCGCACCACTTTAAACCTGTTATCAGCATACATCCCTGCACCTGATAAAAATAATTATGATTCTCCTTTAAACATAGTTTTTTATTCTCATCTTCCTGTAAGAAAAACGTTTTGGACTTTAAGGCTTCTTTTAAAGTATTATACTTTTTTGAATATGGACATTTTATTTCCAAAATGCCAAATTGTCCATTTTTGTCCTTAATAATGCCATCTGGACTAGCACCTAAATAGGGGGCATACGGATGAATAACCAAACCACAATCAAACACATCATGTTTAGTTATTGTTTTGTAAACATTTTTTCCATGTTCTTCATGTGTTTTGCCATGCTGTATTGCATTTACATTACTTAGGTCTCTGATTTCCCAAAGCTTGTTAAAATAATCTAAATCAATGGCCTTCTGTCTCTTGCATAAATTTCCAAAACAAGATGATGTAAAACGTTCACGTCTAAGCATGTGCCATTCATTGCAATTGCTCTGCAATTTGGTTCTTTCTTGTATTGAAGACGAATCTTCCATCGTAAATAAAAAAAAAGAATCCTTTCTTGGCAGTGGCTTGGATATTAAAATATTAATACACTCCATGTCCATGTTTGGCAAATTTATTGGAACAATATCATCCTCCATTGCATTTAATTTCTGCATACCTAATGTTGTCATGCTTTCATCTAAAAAAAAAATAAGATTTTTAATAATGCAGGTTACAAGAAAAAAATATGTAAACATAAAATATTCTAGGAAGTAAAACTTCTTCAAATATAATTAATTTACATTATATACAAAATTAAAGTAATTAAGAATTTAATATGTTTTATAATGGTATAATAAAGCTTATCATTACAGGGATTATCTCAAGAATACTAGGAACAGGTAAAAAGGGTGAATGATTGATATCTGATTGGTCATTTAACAGATTATCTAAATTTTTAAATCTATTTAGGTATTTCATGTCTCTAAATGGTTTAATTTAATGTCCTTGTTTTGTAAAATCTCACAATTTTCCTTATAAGAAATGTAGAATTTTTGTTTTTAATTAAACTATTGTAATGTTCTGAATGTGATTTATTTATTTCCAATTTAATTTAATAATAAGATATAATTGGTGAATGACTGAAACAATCAAGAATATATAAAATATGTTATTTACCTCTGTTATCTAGATTAAGTATATAAGAAAATGGAATATTTTCATTGATTTTCTTGAGTTTGCTTTTTAATATCTTTATTTTCGTTTCTCCAGAAACTTCCTTGCCAGCAAACGCTGTTTTTGGAGAAAATAAGTTTGGACAAACAGGTCTTTTCTTTCTATTTATGTTTGTGGGCTTCTGGAAAATTGTCTGCAAAACGCTTTCTGGGGCAATCTTTGAACCTCTCGGCTTATTCCATTCTATAGGTTTCGAAGTACATGATAATGATTCAGGAATTTCACTATCTCCACGAAGTATTTTATCTTGTAAATAAAATCCCAAACCAATAACGTGATGACAAGACTGTGACAACCTAAAATTATAAACAATAATTAACTACAAATATGGGTTGGGGGTCTTGATGCTAGGACAGTTCGGATCATTATCTCGACCCTAGCGGAACCCTTATCCAAATATGTATAATCAGCGATAATTGGGCATTAAAAAGGTAATAAGTACTTACCCAACTTCACAAGAGCAGTGACATTCTTTTAAGTTTAAAAAATCATTTTCCTTTCTAAATTCGAGGACGAGATTATGAGGCTTCTCATTTCTCTTCTGGCTATGAAAACATTTCGCTTTCACGGAAGGTTTAGATTCATTTATCCACACATCGTGAATAAAACCTTCAACAAAAAACTTGTAGCCCCTAGAATGCTGCTGTTGGGTGGAACCATGTTCCTCGAAAAACTTTTGAGCATCGCCAAAATTAAAATGTTTAATACACTGTAGATTTTTTTGCCACATCTCCATAATAAAATAATCAAAATCAAAAACAAACAATCACTATCAAAGACGAGAACACAATGACATTTGCCGACTGTCATCCGTGTCATCGGCATTTGACACTCGGGGTAGGAAACATAACAATAACAATTTTTGGTTACTTTAAGAGGGGGTAAGATTCGCGCATGAGTAATAAAGACCATCAAAAAGGAGATAGGTCTATTGCATGTACCGATACGAGGGATACATAATTCTAAACTCTAACGCGCGATGTTTAGACAAAGGAACCGAAAAATTCTACCCCGCTGCCGACATTTATCAGTTATTGAGTGACTCAGAGTTACCTAAATTAGGGAAACCAGAATCGAATTTGTTTTTCTTGCTGCATTGTGAGATATTATTATAACGCAGTTCGATTTATTAAACGGTTTTACATTATTTTTATATTTTAATTTAGTGAATAGCTTTTGTTAGATTAAATTACATTTAGAAGCATAGAGTTGTGAAAGATGGGCAAAATAAAACTAATATACAAATAACGAAAAAATAGACGATTGTGTCGAATAAGGTAATATCAATTAATACAGGGAATTTATTAATTGAGTGCCGATACAACAAAATATCAAACGCAGTTTCAATAAACTTAAAAAAAAATTTTTTG